AGGAGCAATATTTATTAATGGGGAAAATTAATCTAAGCTCAGCATTATGGATTGCATAAAACCAATAGCTAATCACTATGCCTTTGAGAATGGAGGCTTCTTATACTCCACTAATAAAAATCTAGAAATCGAAGTTAAAAACTGCTCCTTTTTAAACATCAGTTCTTTAATATCAGGCGGGGTGTTTTAAATTGAAAGTGCCTAAAGCATAAATTTAGATACGTTAATGGTGAAAAATATTTCTAGTAATAGAGGATCATTTTTGATTTCAAAGTCTTAAGGTCTAAACATAATAATATCTAACTCAGATTTAGAGATGAATCCAAAATACTCAAGTTCTTTGTCGACTCTTTGGTCACAAAATTAAGTGGAAACTCAAGAATAATAGGAGCAAGTTTATTCTAAATTAGGTACGTTGATAATTTTATAAGATTCAGATTAAGTTGTTTCAAAAAATAATAAATTTAAGAAGTGCTAATCATTTGAAAATGGTGGAGTTTTTAACTTAAAAGATATTAATGCATTTTAAGATCTAGAATCAACTTTCTAAGAGAATGAAGCTAAGATTGGAGGAGCAATTATTATACAAAATACTTCAGCTCACTTTATTAAAACCAAATTTACACAAAATATTGCTATTTAAGGTGGAGTGATTCAAATATACGAGGACAGTATTTTAACATTAAGAGATGTTTAGAGTATAAATTCTACTTCCCTAAATGATGGAGGATTTATTAGTGCCATAGATTAATCTAATTCAGACAAGCCTATATTATTACTAATCTAAGGTTTTAATTCTTAAATATAAAATTCAACATCAACTTAAGGCAATGGAGGGGTATTTTAACTAAATGGTACAATGATATCTTTGATTGTCTAAGACTCTTTAATAGTAGAATAAAGTTCGACTGAAGTTAAAAGTAGTGAGTTTATTCATTCAGTTAGATCTCTCTAAATTATGCTGAATAATTTAAACATTAGTAACTCTAAAAACTTTGAGCTTAATGCAGGTTCAATTATTACTTCAATATATGACTTAACAAAATTAGAAATTAAAAATTCTACGATAACATGCCAAAATAAAATCAATACTGATGAGGTGTATACAATCAACAGCTATAGAAGCTCAGCAATTTATATCAAAGATAGTTAGTATGGGCTATAGGCATAAAATAATACTTATGTGAATTGTGGAAATGGATTCTAAGGTGGAATTTTTAGACTATTAAATACATATTTAAATCACACTGGCTATTCTCAATTCTTAAACAGTTCTGCATTCTAAGGAGGAGTCATTTATAGCATTAACTCAAGTGTCAATCTGGAGAATGTTTAATTTATAAATTCAAGAGCTATCTAAGGAGGCATAATTTATTCATTAGGTTAAACAAAATACAATTTAACTGACATTAATATTTTCAACAGTAAATCAAAACAATAGGGAGGCTTTATTTATTCATAGGCTTTTGATAATACAAATGGATTGGAATTTGATCATCAAGAATCATATTTTAATTTTTCAGGGAAAGTTGTAATTGATTCAATAGAAAGTGATTCAAATGGAGGAGGCTTTTATTTAGACAATTCAAGACTTGATATATGGATGAATAATGATCCAATAAAGATTACTAATGCTTTTGCAACGAAAGGTGATGGAGGAATATTTTATGTTAAAAATGCCAGGAATATCAATATCTAAAATTCAACTTTTATTAATTATCGATCTCAGTAAAATGGATCATTTATGTATTCAGAGTCTAATGATTTACAGTTGGTAATTAAAAGTAACGTATTTAATTGCTAAGAAGAAGATAATCCTAATTTTAAGTCTTAATCAATTCTCAAATTATAAGGTGGATCGATTATGATAGTTAATGCAAATCTACCTGTGATATCAGAGTATAATAGTTTTTAGAAATGCTATAACTGTGATAAAGGAGGTGCTTTTGCTTTGAATAATTCAGATTTATATGATTAGGGAAGTGTATTTAGTCAATTAAGCTCTTTTGATGGTGGATCTATTTACTGTGGAAACTGCTCAATTTCACTTTAATCTTCTTACTTTGAAAACAATTATGGCTATAACGGTGGATAAATTGTAGTGTATGAATAGATCAGGCTATTTGATTCTTAAAATGTAACATTTAAAAACTCAAAATCTTCATTAAGAGGAGGTGTATTTTATTTCTGTTCTGATATTCCAAAATAGGTTTAAACTAACCTTAGATTAGAAAATATCACAATATTTGATGCTTTTGCTAATTAAGGGGGAGTATTTAGTATAAAATTCATGTCGTTAAATTTAATCATCAGCAATATATAAATAGAGAAAGCTGGTGCCTAAAATGGTGGAGTATTTTACATATCAGAAATATAATCATTAAATATTACCAAGCCAGCCAAATTCACTAAATTATATGCTTATATTGACTATACATTTCTCGCAACATTTGCAAAAGATTCTTTCTTTTACTTTTCAGATGTCGAGATAGTGAGTAACAATGACAACTTGCTAAATGTAATTGAGTCTAGCTATATTCAATCCTCTATACTTGCGAAACAATCTTTTTAAGGGACATCTATTCAATTTTATGGGAGCTCTTAAATAATTTTTGAGAGAGTTAATATTATGAATAGTTATCTCGGTAGTTTAGGTGGTACTTTTTCAATCTAAGATGTAAAAAATTTTTCTGATACAAATTCAACCTATAAAAATACTGCTGGAATTTAAGGAGGCTTTATGTACAGTTTAAATTCACCCATTTTTATGAGAAATATCTAAATTCAAAATGCCCTTGCATACTATGGAGGAATATTTTATTTATATGGCAGTATTCCTGCTTATCTAGATAATTGCACATTTTACAACTCAAAATCATTAGCTGATGGAGGACTATTGTATTTAAGTGCTGACAATGTATGGTATTACCCAGAGTTCTTAATAATAATCCAGTCATCAATATTCAAAAATATTTAGTCAAAATAAAGCGGTGGGGCATTCTATCTAGATAATGCCTTTCTTGAATTATTAGAAATAGAGAACAGTTAATTTAGTAACATAGAGGCAGATACAGATGGAGGAATTATTTTGGTAAATCAAACAGGAAAGGACATTATTATTAAGAATAACTGTTCGTTTACAGATTTTAAAGCTGGTGATGGTGGAGATGGGTCATTTATATATTCAACATCTAATAAATTAGTACTTTCAATAACCCATTCAATCATTAAAAGTATGGAAACTTTCAATTATACTTAAGCAGAGTAATTTATACACTAAGGAGAAAACAAAGGAGGAAGTGTAATTTATATTAAAGATGCAGTAAAATTGAACATGACAGAAGTAACAATTAAAAATGCAATCGGAGCAAAATACGGAGGGGTATTTCAATAAATAAATACTTTATTCTATTTGAGTAAATTAACGATATCTGAGATATTTGCAATAAATGGAGGTATACTATATCAACTAAATTCTACTGCTTACATCGAATATTCAAACTTCTCAAGCATAGAGTCTTAATTTGGAGGGATATTTTTTACTAATGACAATTCTTATATTTAGACCTAAAATTCAATGTTCTTCAATGTTGTTTCAAGAGTTAGAGGAGGAATAATCTCAGTTCAAGAAGAATCTAATTAAAATAAAAATCCAAGTAATTACATATTTTAAGGCTGCAAATTTATGAACATCATTTCTTAATCAGGAGGATTTGCTTATGTTGACAATATTAAAGCATCTCTAAGTATTATAACTTCAGATTTCAAAAATATTAGAGGTTATTTAAATGGAGGCCTGATTTTATCATAAAATATAAAGAGTTTAACAATAATTGAATCAAAATTTGAGGATATCTTCTCTAACCATACATCAATACTTGATTCTACCTCACAAGATTTCTAGCTTATTATTAAAAATTCAAAATTTATCTGCGACAATGAATTTGATACAACTCTAGTACCAAATTAGCTCAACTCATCCAGCCCTATATACAATTATGAATATACTATAAAAATCTCAAAAGCTAAATATGTGAATTTGACTTAGAATACTTTTAAATTATGCGGCGTAACATCTGAGGGAGGGGTTTTTGCAATATCTTATACAACCTTGATTGATGATGGATCTACGTATGACAGCAATTATGGCATCCATGGGGGAGTAATTCAAGGATCACAAGTATAAATTGATATTAGGAATAGTAAATTTATTAACAACAAAGCAAAAAGAGGGGGAGTATTCAGTTTAAATAGTGCTTCATAAATTAACCTTACTGGCTCAATTTTTCAGCAAAATTAGGGATTTTACGAATCAGGAGTTCTAAATCTTGAGACAAGTTCTGTAGCAAACGTATTTAACTGTAAATTTCTCTAAAATATGGCTTCTGAAAGTTCTGTAATGTTAGTAATGGAGGGTTCAAAAGATTAAAATATCACTTTCAGGCAATGCTTATTTGAGGCTAATAAAGCTTAGAAAAATACTATCTCTGTACTTTAAGCTAATTTACTGATAGAGGATTCATAATTCTTATAGAATACAGCAACTGAGAGAAGTAAAAACATTTTTGCTGGTTTTTCATCTCTCTATATCTTTGACACTCTTTTTAGAGGCATAACTTATAAGAATACTGAGAAGTAACTTTAAATAGATTAAACTTTTGGATGTTTCATTTTCATTATACTTGATGTAAAACTGTACATAAAAAATGGCTATTTTATTAATGGACTTGCAAAATAAGGAGGAGCAATATTTATTACTGGAGATTCCAAGATTGATATCATAGAAAGTTAATTTAACGAGAATTATGCTTATTTAGATGGAGGAGCTATTTACTCATCGGGCTTTTAATACCTTAATATCTTAGAAAATTCTAAATTCTCAAATAATAGAGCCAACGAGATGGGAGATGATATACATGGAGCTAATACTTTAGGCTAGTTACATTTGGAAAATACAAATTTCAATAATCCAGGAGCATCTTTATCAATTTATGCAGCAAATCTAGGACTGTACATGAATGAAGTTACTATGAACAATATTGGAAATGATAATGAAGATCATCAATATGGATCAGCCTTATATTGCTTAGATTGCAAGACTATCCATATTTCAGATTCTGAATTTACCAATATGAAAAGCTATCTAGGAGGAGCATTTTATATAGAAGAGTTAACATAAAATAAAATAAATTCACTATAATCCGCGAAATATGAAATTAGAAACTCAAACTTTGTAGATTGCTAATCTGTATCTGGGGGAGCATTGTATTTGTTGAATATTGAAAAGATGATAATTTCAAATTCAAAGTTCATAAGTAATGAAGTAATTAATAGCACTGCAAGTAATTACTACAAATACCATGGCTCAGGCGGTGCTATATATTATGAATGCACTGATTAAAACTACAACTGTGAATTGACAATAAAAAACAATTCATAGTTTAATAATAATTTTGCTACTAGATAGGGAGGAGCAATTCATTGGGAGTCATTAGAGCCAATTATTTCGGCTGATGTTTAATTTTTAAACAACATCGCTACTCAGTATGGAAATGATCTATCATGTTTTGCACAGAGGATAATAAAGATCAATTAAGAAACTTATTTGAATACAATGAAAAATTTAGGAATTGAACAAAGAAGATAAAGACTCTTAACTGATTACATCTATCCTTCACGTATTTTGAATGTCTCAATATCAACATAAATAAAAAGCTAAAGAAGCGGTGGAACTATGCCAGGGATATATGTTGCCTTAGTTGATAAGTATGGCTAAATTATTGGAATTGATTAAGAAAGCAAAGTAAGAGTAAACATAGATTCATTTATCGAAGTATCTAAGGAAGCTCAAGCATATCCACCAATTATCGAGGGATAGTCTTAATTTGCAGTCTTAGGTGGAGTGGTATACATCTAAAACATATAATTTACAGGAACACCTGGATACTAATATAGCTTAACCCTTACAACAGATGGTATCGATTTAAAAAAGAAATCGAACAAAGAATATCTTAGCAAATCTTAAAACAATTCATCATCAGATATTGACTTTAAAGTTTAGGTATAATTGAGAGAATGTGAGATAGGTGAACAGTTTACAGTAGTTGGAAAATGCGAAGAATGTGAATATGGAAATAGCTTTTCACTAGTAAAGATGAACGAGCCGGGGCTTTGCAAAATATGCCCAACTGATAAAGCACGATGCTATGGTGGAACAAATATTGGCCCAAAACCTGGATATTGGAGGAAAAATAATGCGACCTCGTTTTTTATATAGTGTTAATACATGCCTGCTTGCTTAGGAATGATACCACCTGCAAACGATCCAAAGGGATCTTGTCTTAATGGCTATCAAGGAATTTTATGTGCAGACTGCCTAAAAGGTTACTCTCGTTAAGGAGATTTCAAGTGTTAAGAATGCCCTAAGACATCAGTAAATTCAATAAGGTTGGTAGCCATTTTTATAGCATTAACTTTGATGATAATATTCGTTGTTAGATCTACTCTACTTGGAGCAAAAGAAAAGAAAAATGTAACAAGTATATTTCTTAAAATCATGATGAATCATCTATAACTGATTATTCTCTGTTCTGCTTTTAATTTTGATTGGCCGAGATTATTAATTGATTTTTTTACAGAAATTAAGCCTGTTGCTCAGGTATCAACTCAAATACTTTCTTTTGATTGTTTTATTGACAAAAGGTAAAGTGATGATGATAATGATTAATTAGAAATTTTCAGGATCTTCTACTAAAAATTAGTTATGCTCGCATTATTGCCGATTTTGCTGGCTTTTTGCTCTTGGCTGTTTTGGGTGATTTACCATAAAATCAAATATTAAAAAGAAGAGTATGTTAGCAAAATTATTACAACACTGATTATTCTTTTATTCCTAGTTCATCCAAATATTGTCCACTATATGTTTAACAATTTTAAATGCATAAATATTGATGGAGATAATATGCTTTTGTATGATTTGGAAATCAATTGTTGGGGTGATGTTCATTCTTTATTTAGTTATTTCATTGCCCTTCCAAGTATATTCGTTTGGGGACTCGGAATTCCCTTTTTTGCTTTGATTCTGCTTATGAAAGTTAGAAAAAACCTAGATAGTATAGAAACAAGATAAAAACTAGGGTTTTTATATAGAGGTTATAGAAAGAAATATCATTATTGGGAGATAATAATCATGTATAGAAAGATATTACTAATATTTATCTCAGTATTTGTGAGCACCTTTGGAGTCATGGCTCAAGCATTGATTGTATTTATTGTCTTAATCTTATTCCTAATTCTAAATTTAAAAGCTAAACCATTCAGCACTGTTGCTTTAAATGATCTTGAAACTGTTTCGTTGGTCACCTCTATGATTACTATATATTGCGGGTTATTCTTTTTATCTAATACTAAATAGAGTTAGATAGATTAAGATCCTGAACTTAAAGATAAAGCTGTATAACTAAGTGATAATGTACTTTTCGGCCTTTTTATAATAATAGTATCATCAAACTGTATATTCTTCTTTTATTGGCTCTACAAAATGCTTTTTGAAGTTAAAGGTAAAATTATGCGATCAACTCCTAAACTCTACCTATTCTTTTGTTCTTGTAGCAATTAGCAATAGTTCTAAAAAGATCTTAAACAACTAAAACTTGATGAAGAAAACGATGCTTTAAGAGAAGAATTTCTAAAAAGTAAATATTTTATCGTTTATATTTTATATATAGCTATTCGAAACATTAAATTAATGTAATAAGATGGTAGAATTATGCTAAACTAAAAAAATTTGGAAAAACTTTAAATTTATCTGGACTCCTAAAATATCATGAAAGTGATTAAATCTGATAATAATAAAATAGTAATTGATGAAAAACAGGGAAGAAGGAATAGCCGAAAATAGAATTTGAAAGATGCATTAAAATTAACAACTAAGAAAGAATCTAATAATCAATTAGGTGATTCTTACACTAACACTTTTGATAAAGAAGACTCTACTTATAAAGATAAATCATAAAGCTCATTCTTAGAAATATAAAATATGTTGACAAATGAGTAAGAAGAGAATAAAATAAATACAAACATTTATAACACATCTGCAAGTTAGGATTCGTTCAAGTTTTTTAATTCTCTTAAAAGAGATAGAGCACTTACTCATGACATTTTAGTGAAAAATGGGAATAGAAGTCTACGACTAAGTCCGTTAGTTATATCTAAGGATTAATATGTAGATGACTTAGTTAAAGTAATAAGAGAAGGTCCTCATAAATAATTGAAATAAATTATTCCTTAAACATTCGATTAATAAGAAGATCAATCTATTACAATTTCTGATTCTGAAAGGATCACAGATAACAATAACAGTCCATAATTCAGATTTGATTTTAGGAATCATCTTTACAACAAAGTTCAAGTTGATTAAGAAGATGAAATTCTTGATGATTAATATAATCAGGAAAGAGATATCATAATTTACAATGATAGAATAAGAGAAATCATTAATGCCTAGAAAAATGCTGAAAGAGAAATTCAATAAAATAAAGACTTCTAATCTGCCATTCAAATTTAAAAGAAGAAAAAAAGAAACAAATCTCTCAAATATAATGAGGGATAGAAAATTTAAAGAATTAAGACAGTAGTGATTAAAAAGCAAGTAAGAAGCCCCAGAAAAAATAATCTGGTATAATATTAAATTGATTAAGAAGAAAAATCTCTTACAATACAAGATATTACATCACTTTCACCTAAAGGAGCTAATTAAAACGAAGAAGTTTTTAAGTTTAGGGAAATACCAAAAGCTAAATTTGAATAAGCAAAATTTGATTAGATAATTTCAAATGTTAAGATTGATTCTCTATCTTTGCCTTCAGATTAAGATAATGATAAAACTTATTTCAATGATAAAAATATTGATCATAAAATGCATTTGGATTTCAAAGATTAAGTAGATTTAGATAGCAAGTACTTTGAATCGCTAGATTTGGAAAATATTCAGTAATTTATAAATGAAGAGTTTTAAGTTTAAGACTTAAATTAAAGAGACAGTATTGATGTTAATGACTATGATCAAAATTGAAACACATATTTTGATTTAAGCTATATTAAGTACTGGAAATCTATATATAAAGATAAAAAAAAAATATTATAGAAACTTGATTTTTAAAATATCATCAATTAATAGCCATCTTTAGTAACTCAGGGGTTTTGGGGTTTTGGGGTTTTGGGG